TTTTTTTTTTAAGCTGCAACTTTTTTCCTTCCCTCTGTTTCAGAATCTCAAGTGGAAGAGTTAGCGCAGCCGCAAGCGGACCGTTAGGGGACCGGCAACTGTTGAGCACACCGACGTTAGCACTACTTTTGACACATTATTTCTTCCCTTTTTTAAATAAAATAAAGTCAAAAGATACCTAGAACGAATTTAAAAGGTGCTATGCTGTATTTGTGCACGCTTGGGGCGTATTAAAGAAGTAAGCGGTCCCACCTACAAATGAAAAATGAATACGAATTTTCGTAAAGAATACGCAGCGAGTTCATGTGTCACATGTGTGCATGACTTTACGCAAATTCGAAGTTACTTTGCTATTAGGCCTAAAAGCAAAGTAACTACGAATTTGCAACGAATTCATGAACAGTCGTATACGTGTAATTATGGCAAATCCTTCAAAACAAACGGAAGGCTTTCGATCCCAAATTATTGTTCTGAATTCAAATTAAATAATAATTTCCAAAAACCTGCACATAAATTACAAGAGTTTGTTCAAAATTTAGCAATGAGTGACAACAGAATATGACAAACACGTCTCAATCCAATTCCAAAAAATATTGACTTGCACACTTTATTTATAGCATACAAAAACAAATTACTGGAGTCAACATAAAAAGCGCGAGTTATTTAGAGGCCAAGAGCTCCTGAACATCGATTGAAATATACTCGGTTATAGAATTGAAACATATGAGTTAGGATCTTATCATAAATCAAGAAATGAATTAAAATTAGTGCCGTCAACCGATACCCTAGAAGGCCGAAAAAATATATGAGCAAATGACCAACACTATAAACTTCAAACAATGAATAATATAAAGTCTTTGTTCTTCCGTTTCTTCACAGTCTGTGTTTTAGCCTCACACCCCTCCCTCTCCCAGAGGAGGGATGGGCGGACGGTGGCTATTTAGTCTTTGTTGTCTGCCACATCGAAGAGAAGGTCTGTGCCGACAGAGATTGTGTTTAAGTATACATCGATAGTGTGACCTAGCTGCGCGCAGCAGATGGATATCAGTGTGATAACTGGTGTCTTTGATTAACACCCGTTATACTAAGGTTGCTCATTTCCCTGCACGCGAATGCAAGCGCGTTTAACTTCTTTCAAACTGACAATAATACGCATTCCTGCGCGCACCCAGACATTTACAGCCATCCTTGCGCAGGTTGAACACATTAACCTGTCATGATAAGAAGGACCATCGTAAAAGAATATTCTTTAGATTGGCGTTCCCTTGCATGTCTCCAATACGTAGGCATGAATCGAGTACAAAGATCACCAGGCTAGCTTCTGATCGGCAGCATTGGCTAAATAATGCGAGATTTCGTGAATTATTGTTCACGACACCGGAAGGTAACCGTGGAAGGGGTGCTCATCACTAGCATTTTTGAACCTACTGGCAAAACTGTCTTGTTACGCCCCTAAAAATAACTTACGGAATTCGTGGTCAGCCGATAAATGTTGGATTAACACTTTGACTGCGTCTCTCAAAATAGTCTGTTTGCCCCTGGGGCGACGTTTTTTAAACCTGCATTACTTTAGGCCTAGACGTGTACCATATATGGCGCACGTCGCAGTTTGGGACATCACTGCATGTACCACATATGGCGCACGTCGCAGTAAAAGTGTTAAGGAGCGTAAATGCGTGTTAAATTGGGTGGAAGGTAAACAATGGAAATAAAATTAAAGCCACTTACGTTTGTTTTACTGAACTAAATATAATCAACTCGAACAACATAAACTCCTGTTATTAATGCCAGTTGTCGTTATCGACCAGTAACTATTTGAAACAATACATATTGGTGGAAAGTCGACCCTAGGCTGGCGGAATTTATTTTCGGGCAGCCTTAGGCAAGCGGAATTTAATTTGGGCTGCCCAACAAGACAGTCCTACCGGTCGATTTGTTTTGTTTGAGTAATTACCCATGTGAGCATCGCCATGATTGCCTAGAAATTAATTAAAATTACGTTTCCAAAGATCCTAACGCGCATACCAACTTGTGAAGTATTCAGTTTGTAGTGGTCGTTTCTGTCCGATGCCCTCCTAACTCTTCACGCCACAGACATGGACACTCAGGACATGGGACCTCGCTCAAAAGCAGTTTTCCCGCGTTCCTCGAGGCATGCGCAAACAGACATGTGACCGCCACGGCTGCCATAGGCCACTGACGCGCCATGTTTCCCCATTCTGGCCTCAACTCACAGTGGCTTGACCTCAATCCGTCCAATGAGATTCTCGCTTTAGTAAACTGACCTCATTTAGTAGGTTTAAACAACGACGAAAATGCGGTGTCTACCTTTAGGCATCACTCCGGACCCGACCCGACTAGGGAACGGATGCATTAGTCCGCGAGTTAAAACTCTTTCCATCTATTCTCCTATCCTTCTGCCGAATGCATTATTCCTAACAATCTAACCTTCCCAAGACTTCTCTCTATCTTCACCTTAGGAACTGGGCCTGGAAGATTGCAGCTGTTAGGGTTAACGGTCTTAGCCTTAACACCTATAAATATGTATTTATAATTGTCAGGTAAATAGGAAGAATGATAGATCACTTAAAATCTTCACCAATTAGGTGAAATATAGAACAATATGCGTAAATTGAAACATTGTTTTCCTGGAAGAAATTTGAGCAAGGCGAAGATCACGAGTTGAGCAGAATTTAATGAAGTCATAAATTTCGTGATCACTCATTCAGCTGCAGACGGTCGTTGCCTATTAAGAAGAGAATTAACTGTCCAATTAAGTGTCAGCCTCGAAGGGTTAAACTTGATAGGTAAAGGGAGTAGAAACAAATGGTCATAGATGTGGGTGCATAGTGAGGGGTAGAGGAGGGGGGAGGTTATTGTCACAGCATGGCAGTTCATGTTAGTGCATGTTCATGAAAGCCTGTAGG